CATCCACCACCCACCACCCACCACCCACCACCCACCACATCATGCACGCGCTCATCTTGTGATTTGATGTACACAGGTGGACGAGAACTGGAACGTGAAGGTGGCCGACTTTGGGTTCGCGCGGATCAAGGAGGAGAACGCGACGATGACCCGCTGCGGCACGCCGTGCTGGACGGCGCCAGAGGTGATCCGCGGCGAGAAGTACGACGAGCGGGCCGACGTCTATTCGTTCGGTGTGATCATGTGGGAGGTTGTGACCCGCAAGGAGCCCTTCGCCGGGCGCAACTTCATGGGCGTGTCGCTGGACGTGCTCGAGGGCCGCCGCCCGGCCATCCCCGGCGACTGCCCGGCTGACTTCCGCAAGGTCATGAAGCGCTGCTGGCACGCGTCGGCCGACAAGCGACCCAGCATGGACGACGTACTCACCTTTTTGGCCAAGCACCTCGACGCCGATGACGCCGGCACCATGCTCTAAACGAAGGCCACATTTTTCACACAATAAAAAAAATACAAAGGAATAACAACAAACAGAGAAAAAGCACAAATATCATATTTAGATAATATGATCACTGGAAGGAAGAAGCAACACCCTTCTCTAAGCTGTCAGGTCTGTCACTGAAGAGACCAATCAGCTCATAGCGATTTTCATCAGCCAATCGATGCGGCGGAAATATTTTTTGTCGACGGGCATGTTCGTGTCCTTTTTCTACCGTGTTGCCTCTCTATGCCGAGGAGCCAATCAGGTCTTCCTCCATCACTTTATCTTCGTCGGCCGCAACTCCAACCCATTCTTTAGCACCCAGCCCAGACCACCAAGACTACCGCAGACCCACTCGCCGCACCATCAACACCATGAGCGCTGCCTTCGCCTTCGTTTTCCTTCTCGCCTGCTCGCTCTTTGGTACCTCTCTTCTCCCTCTACATATCTCCCATGATCACCTGGCACACTCTTTTCTTGGACAGGGAGGTTAATGCAAGATCCTCTTCTTTTTCGTCTTGGCCCACCATGTAGTGGCTGCTCAGGCCAGCAACAACGTTGCCCAGTGCATCATCGCCAAGTGCTCGGCTCAGGTGACCGCCTGCTATGAGGACCCCGTCTGCCTCTCCGCCGCCGAGTGCGTCCGTACGTCCCCCTCCTCTCCGTAATTCCTATTTGCGGCCCTCACACTTCGTCTTATGCGGCATGACAGGTGCTTGCGGCCCGTCCGACGTGTCGTGCGCTCAGGGCTGCGCCACCAAGGCCGCCGGCGACCAGGCCTTCGGCGCCCTGGCCCAGTGCGCCAGCCAGTGCCTCCACTCTGCCACCACCGACGTGTTCGACCTCATCGCGCCCGTCGACGCGCCTTTCGGCAAGTGCTCGTGGATCAAGAAGGCCGCCTGCGCTATTGGCATCGCCAGCGCCGTGGCCGCGTGCGGTGGTCCCGAGGACATTATCTGCATTCTCGCTGCACTGAAGGCCCTGGAGGGCTGCGCCACCTGCTTCTGCGAGGACCACTGCCACGGTCCCTGCCAGGCTCTCCACTTGTGCTAGACAGACCTCACATAGTGCACCAACAAACAATTTTGTTTTTCACAACATGATCATCATGTGAAAGAATCCCTTTCTCTGGGCAGAAAGGGAGCTCTCTGAATTTTCACAGTGATTTGTTCACTCACATTTGATATGGCCACAGGGAAACTTGTGGAGGGGGACTTGTGCTCATTTGCTCTGGCCTCAAAAAGTGTGTAATGGAACTTTGTGGAGGCCTGTTGAAATGACCTGAAGGCCCAATGTTTAGGGTGGTTTTTTGAAGCAACATAAAATGGTGGATAGTTTGCTTGAGCTGCCTCAAAATTGTGGATTAATTTTGTGTGCTGTTGCAGAGGTGGGTCTTAGATTTCCCATGCCTTGAAGTGGAAGCAAAGGAGGTGTCATGGCAAACAGTATACTTGCTTGAAGAGCTTGCCTTTGTTGTGCTTGTAGAGGTAGTACTGTTGTAGGGCAAATCTGGACCCACTGGTGCACAAAGTGCAGTCCCCTCTGTTGACTCAGCAAGGTGGCTTACTGTTGAAGATGGTGGGGGTGATCTGATGCTCAATGGTGCTGGAATTCTTGCACCTATACTTGTATCACTTTGTGTACTGCTGTGGAGCCACTCCTCTTGGTGGGCTCAGCCTTCTGATTGGTGGACCATTTCAGAAGCCATACCAAAGTCAACATGTATCCACTCATACACCCACATCAGCACAAGAAGCTATCAACCTTCAATGCAGGCCAAGCAGGAGTAAACATGTATCCATGTGTATGCCTTCATACATACCCACCACATGAAGCAAAAAGTTGACAGGTGGAACAAAACACATCTGCCAATCTTTTCCAATCCAATGTCCTGCCAACCTTGCTCAGGGTCAGTGCAAGCAGGCAAGAGATATGCATTACATCACCTTCGTCTTTTGTTTTCCACGCTCATCATTTCGGACAAAACCTCACATTTTAATGGCAACGGTTTGGGCAAGGTTTTTGTCGACAGGCATGTTCGTGCCCTTTTTCTCCCGTGTTGCGTCACTTTGAGGAGGGAGCCAATCAGCTCTTCCGGCCAATACGGAGGTGGATGCTCACTTTATCTTCGTCGGCCGCAACTCCAACCCACTCTTTAGCATCCAACCCAGACCACCACAGACCCACTCGCCGCACCATCCGCACCATGCGCGCTGCCTTCGCCTTCGTTTTCCTTCTCGCCTGCTCGCTCTTTGGTACCTCTCCCTCTTTCCATATCTCTTCTCCCCCTTCCTTTTTCTCTTTCGATCTTTTGTCTTCGCTCTTTGCTCTTTTCTTCGTTCGGGAGACTCCATCAACACCCCCAATGATCACCTATTTCCTTGGATTATGGAGGTTAACTTTCTTTTTCGTCTTGGCCCACCATGTAGTGGCTGCTCAGGCCAGCAACAACGTTGCCCAGTGCATCATCGCCAAGTGCTCGGCTCAGGTGACCGCCTGCTATGAGGACCCCGTCTGCCTCTCCGCCGCCGAGTGCGTCCGTACGTCCACCCCACCACCGTCGTGTTGTTATTTGTTATTTTAGCTCCGTAACTCCTATTTGCGGCAACCCACTCACACTTCGTCGTGCGGGGGATAGGCGCTTGCGGCCCGTCCGACGTGTCGTGCGCTCAGGGCTGCGCCACCAAGGCCGCCGGCGACCAGGCCTTCGGCGCCCTGGCCCAGTGCGCCAGCCAGTGCCTCTACTCCTCCACCACCGACGTGTTCGACCTCATCGCGCCCGTCGACGCGCCTTTCGGCAAGTGCTCGTGGCTCAAGAAGGCCGCCTGTGCCGTCGGCATCGCCGGCGCCGTGGCCGCGTGCGGTGGTCCCGAGGACATTATCTGCATTCTCGCTGCACTGAAGGCCCTGGAGGGCTGCGCCACCTGCTTCTGCGAGGACCACTGCCACGGTCCCTGCCAGGCTCTCCACTTGTGCTAGACAGACCACACACAGGGCTGCCTTAACAATTTTTTTTTGTACAACACGATCATTACCAATTGTGATTTTGCTCTTTCCAGCCAAACACAATCGTGCACCAAGGGGGAGGTTTGCAGTGAGAAGTTGGACCTGTGGCTTAAGCCAATCGGGTGGATTCGTCAATACGGAGGTGAGCGACAAAGTGACCCGGATTATTCCTCTCTTATCAACCCCAACCCAAGACCCACTTGAGTCGCAAACATGCACGCTGCCTTCGCCTTCGTTCTCCTTCTCGCGTGTTCGCTCTTTGGTACCCCCTGCCTTCGCTCTTCCTTTCAATCCTCCACTTCTTTTTCGCTTTTGATCTTTATTTGCAGTACTCCTCCCCTTCATTTCCTGCGGCCGTGTCTCAAAAAGTGTTACTGCTGTTTCTCTTCTTCATCCTTCTCCTTCAATGTAGTCGCCGCGCAGTCCCAACACAACGACATTGCGAAGTGCATCATCGCCAAGTGCCCGGCTCAGGTGATGGCCTGCTATGAGGACCCCGTCTGCCTCTCCGCCATCGCGTGCGTCCGTACGTCTTCCTCTCCGCCTTCTCCCTTGTGATCGATTTCTATTTTAGCTACGTAACTCCTATTTGCGCCAACCACACGACCCCTTTGCCTGTGTACAGAGGCGTGTGGTCCGTCCGACGTGGCGTGCGCCACTGGCTGCACGCAGGCCGCCGGCGACCCGACCTTCGGCGCCCTGGCCCAGTGCGCCAGCCAGTGCCTCTACTCCGCCACCACCGATGTGTTCGACCTCATCGCGCCCGTCGACGCGCCCTTCGGCAAGTGCTCGTGGCTCAAGAAGGCCGCCTGTGCCGTCGGCATCGCCGGCGCCGTGGCCGCGTGCGGCGGCCCCGAGGACATTCCCTGCATTCTCGCCGCTCTCAAGGCTCTCGAGGGCTGCGCCACCTGCTTCTGCGAGGACCACTGCCACGGTCCCTGCAAGGCTCTCCACCTCTGCTGAAGATGAGCCACGCCAAAGAAGTTCGTTGTACAACGCCACCATCGATTTTTTTTGACACAAAGCTGCAAAGATGTAGAGGCGAAGAAAGATGTATTACAAAAAAAAAGGTACTGCACTACTTGTTGCAGTTGGGCTCCCCTCAGTGGGCGGCGGTGGCGTCGCCGCCCTTTCTGGGGGTGGTCTTCTTGTCCTTGCCTACTCCGTCGGCCTTGGCGGCGGGCTTCTTCTTCTTGAGCTTCTTGAGGTCACGCTTCATCTTCTTCATCTGCTTGGCCATCCCGTCGGCCAGCTTCTGCAGCTCGACGTCGCGCGCGTCAAGTCGCTCCCGTAGCGCCGCCACCTCGCGCTCGCGCTCGTCCAGCCGGCCCCGCAGCTCCGTCACATCGCCCCGCAGCTTCTCCACCACCTCGACCTGCTCGTTCGCCTGCAGGAGCTGCTGTTGGTGCTGCTGATGCGAGACCGGATAGGCCACGCTCCGCCGCGACAGACTGCGCGGGTTGGGCGAGCCCGACGACGGTGAACCCGACAAGGCGGCGGGCGAGGCGCCGGCGCCGGCGGTGGAGGAGCCGGACGAGGTGGCGTCGAAGCGCGCCTTGAGGAGGGCGATGCGGGAGCCGCTCCGCTCTTCGAGCTTGACGGGCGTCGACGGCGGCGTCGCGAAGGTCGTGCGAGGCGGCGATGACGAAGACGAAGAAGATGACGACGCGGACTGCGCAGCCTGTGGGGTGGGCGTGGGAGCTCCGTTTTCGTTGTTGGCGACGGGTGCGGGCGAAGCGTCGGCTGCAGCGGTCTCGGTCGAGGCGCCGTTTTCCTGGGCCGCCACGGCCGCGACTTGCCTCGATCGCCGCGCCTCCTTCTCTCGTCGCCTGATCTCGCTCTTCTCCTTCCTCTTCTGCTCCTTCCTCTTCCTCTTCTGTTCTTTGTCGCTTTCGCTTTCGCTTTCACTCTTGTCCGTCTCCACGTTGCTGCTCTTCTTCTTATTCTTCCCCTTGGGCTCTTCGCTCTTATTGGTGACGTCACCGCCGTCGCTTCGCGGCGCTTCGGCCTGGCCTTCGCTTTCGTTTTCGTTCTGCTGGGTCTCGCGGCCGTTGTTGGCCGGCTCCTCCTGGGCGCGCGGGCTCCCGGCAGCCGCCGCAGCCGCCGCCTGGGGCGAAAGCGACACAGTGCCTCGCTTCCGGTTCGTGCCGCTGTCCCGCAGCACCGAAGGCGAGACCGGCGCCGGCGCGGTGTCCATGCGCGCCCGCGACTGGCGCCACTCCTTGGGCGGCGGGGTCACCGGTGCCGTGAAGGTCTCCTCCGTGGCCGTGGCCGCGGCTGCAGCCGTCGTCGCAGGCGCCGTCCCGTTGGTCGTCTCGTCTTCGAATTGTTTTGGCAGAACTGTTTTGAATTACACCAAATGTCAGCCACGACACATGGTACGCCGCACACACGCCACGCAAGAACAGGGGGACGCTACCGGAGAGATCGAAGGAGTAAATGTCGTCGAACCGCTTGGCGCCGTCGCTGCCGCCAAAGATGCAGAGGTGCCCGCCGCTGGAGATCACCGCCGAATGAGCCCGTCGCTCAGCGGGCACGTCGCCGTCAATGCTCACCACCGTCCATCGGTTTGTTCCTACAGGCAGTTCCGTGATGTGCGTTCGTGTGCGATGTGAATGTGTCGTGTGTCGTGTCGTTGTTAGTAACTGTGCCGAGCAAAGTCAGAAATGAGAGGTACAAGCGTACGAATAGAGTAGACACTGAGATCGTTGAAGTTCTGTTTGCCGTTCATGCCACCGAAGACGACCATCAGGGAGCCGTACGCAACGGCCGTGTGACCCGCACGCGGCCACGGCTTCACCACGCTCTCCGCCGTGACGACCCGCCACGATTGCGTGCCTGTCGTTCGTTGCGCAGAGAACAGAAAGCATAGAAGAGATCTCAGATATCAGTCGTGTCGCCGTTGCACAACTCTGCGTGGTGTGCCGCGAGTGCGTACCAAAATGGAAGGCGTGGAGGTCGTGGTAATGCCTGGTGCCGTTCTTCCCGCCAAACACGTACATCTCGTCTTCATAGACGACCGCGCTGTGGTACTGACGAGGCGGCGGCGGGGTGCCCTGCTTGACCAGCACTGCATTCCACTGCATCAACTCTGTATGTGTGTGACAATCAGTCACCACCACTTCGAGAAAACGTCACCGCACACACCACCGCACACACCCACCACCGCACACGACATGAAGCGTACCAAAGTCGAAGCAGTAGAGGTCATTCCTATCCACGCCATCGTAACCGCCAAAGATGTACATCTTGTCCTGCTGGTGCACGACGGCGCTGTGGCCGAAACGGGGCGATGGCGCCTTGCCTCGTCCCACCAGCTCCTTCCAATCGCCCGTCACTGCAGTACCCCGACAAGCAAGTGCGTTGTGATGAGAAGGGAGAACGAAGAAGAGCGAACAGAGAAGAACGAAGAAGAACGAAAAGCCAACCGGAGTCATAGGCCTGAAGGTCGTTGAGAGACTTGGCGCCGTCGTAGCCGCCAAAGACGATCATCTGGGTGTGGCTGAAGACGGCCGAGTGGCTGCTGCGGGCCGGCGGGCAGTCGTCCTCTTCAACCTCCGCCGTCCACTGGCCTCCTCCGTTTCCTCCTGCGCTCCCCCTCGTTAAGTTTTATGTCCTACTCGCTTGCCCTGCAATAGGAGCCAAAAGAACGAAGAAAAGAACGAAAGCGAAGAAAAGAACGAAGACTGAAAAAAGAGGGAAGGGGGCGAGTAGTACCGTGCGTGGAGGGGTGGTGGTAGGCGTGGAGGTCGCGCAGGCGGGACGTGCCGTCGAATCCGCCGAAGAGGAACGTCACATCGCCGAGCGTAGCGCACGTGTGACCGGCCCTGGCCGTTGGCGGATGCCCGACGCAGGGCGACAACACCCACCGTCCTGCGATTTAGATTTGAATAAAATCCGCAAATCAAAAACGGAGGGTGACGAAATCGAACACATCGAAGGAGTATTTTTTGTCGCCGTAAAAGAATTGAATGCAAGATGAAGATGGAGATGAAGACGAAGATCGAGGCAAGGGGAGCGATGAACGAGAAAAATCGAAACGAGGAACGAACCTTTATGTCCTTGCATGGCGGATCAAATTGAATATCAAATTGATTATTATGTTCTCGTTTCTCCCTGAGGGGGGTTGTCTTTGTCCTGTCCAACGTTCGATGCGGATTGAGAAGCTGTTCTCTCTTGCCGCCACTTCTTTCTTTGCCTCGTGCCCTGAACAGCTCAATTAAAAATTAAATTCACCAACGGGAGTTGGCCTGAACTTTCAAACTTTGATTTGTGATTCGTTCAAACTCTGTTGTGGTAGCAACCCGAACAGTGCTTGGCGCCACGTGCCGGGATCAGTCGAGCTGCGGCTGGCGTGGCTTCTTCGCAGCAGTGGAAGACTTGAAGAGCCCCGCGTCGCGGAGCTGTTCGAGGAGCTTCCGCGTGCGGCCGAACCGTCGTATCCGACACTGCGACGTGAAGGCGAAGAAGTAGGTCGGGTGCAGCCGGAAGCTGGGGGTGCCGGCGGTGGCTGGCGGCACCCCTTGTTCTCCTCCTTTTCCTTCTCCCTCTCCCCCGCTTTCCTCTCGTGCCTTGAGCACCCGCTGCATGAACTGCACCGCCTCCTCCGGCTTCTCCTCCTTCTTGCACTCATCTGCACCGATGTCGGTGAGCGACGACAACCAAGTGTCAGCGTTGACACAAGCACAAGAAATGATGATGAGTGATCAATGGAAAAAGGTGGAGGTACCGAGGTAGGGCTCGAGGAAGGTGGTGGGGCGGTAGCCGAACCGGTGCTTGTGGAGGACACGCACCAGGGCGAGCAGTGACTCGACGTGGTCGCGCACGGTCGCGGTCTCAGTCCCGACCCGGTCGAGGAAGCGCACGATGCGGAGGCCCGTCTCGCGGTCGAGCCGCTGGCCCACGCGCTCCATCCGCGCGCACACGTCGGCCATCTCGCGCACGCGGCCGCGGTCGAGGAGCGCCTTGGCGTAGTCAAAGTAGAGCCGGTCGTCGACCTCCACCCCGCCGGCCGCCATCTCGTCTAGCTGCGCCACGGCCCGCTCGAACTCGTTCTTCTCGGCGCGGGCCTGGACGAGCAGACTGTAGTGCTGGACGTTGGGCTGGAGCCCGCTGCGCTTGAGCGCGTCGAAGAGCTCGATGGCCTCGTCGGGCCGGCCCCGCTTGATGCTGGCCTGCATGAGCGGCGTGTAGGTCAGCTCGTCGGGCTTGACCCCGTGCCGGGCATGCAGGCCCGCATAGTAGGCAAAGGCCTGGTCGAACTGGCCGTGCTTGACGAACTGGTTGATGATGACGTTGTGGGTGGCGATCGAGGGCACGATCCCGAGCGAGGACAACACCTCGACCACCTGCAAGGCGTTCTCTTGCTTGTTCACCTTGAAGAAGCACTCGATGAGATTGCCCATGATGTGCTCATCCATCTTGATCTGTTTTACACACATACGCACACGCACCACACCGCGCGCGCGTACACACCCACGACACACACACGAAGCACACACACACACCGCACACACGCGCCACGGTCAATCACTGAGTGAAAACAGGGGAGGACGAGCGGCTGAACCTTGCGCTGGAGCATCTCCTGTATCACCCGCTGACAGCTGTCCGCGTCGCCCTGCCTCGCGTAGGCGTTGAGCAGCGTCGAGTAGGTGTAGAGGTCTGGCGTCGCGTCGCACGCCTTCATGATGTCCACCAGATCGTTCATGCCTTCATTCCCATGAGCCAGAGGCATGAGGGAGTATTGCTATTAGACGGCGTGTGGCGTGTGGCGTGTGGCGTGTGGCGTGTGGCGTGTGGCGTGTGGCGTGTGGCGTGTGGCGTGTGGCGTGTGGCGTGTGGCGTGTGGCGTGTGGCGTGTGGCGTGTGGCGTGTGGCGTGTGGCGTGTGGCGTGTGGCGTGTGGCGTGTGGCGTGTGGCGTGTGGCGTGTGGCGTGTGGCGTGTGGCGTGTGGCGTGTGTGTCGCATACTATCGATGGAGCCCTGCTTGGCGTAGGCGTGGAGCACGATGTTGAAGACCTGCGGGGTCATCTTGACGCCCTCCGCGTCCATACGGATGAGGAACTGTACGCCCTCGCGCAGGAAGTTGAGCTGGACCAGCTCTCGTATCAGAGCGCTGTAGGCATACATGGTCCCGCCTGTGCGTGGACAAGATATTCACATCAATCAGCATATACAACCCACATGGGTTGTGTGTGTCGTGTGTCGTGTGTCGTGTGTCGTGTGTCGTGTGTCGTGTGTCGTGTGTCGTGTGTCGTGTGTCGTGTGTCGTGTGTCGTGTGTCGTGTGTCGTGTGTCGTGTGTCGTGTGTCGTGTGTCGTGTGTCGTGTGTCGTGTGTGTGGTGTGTTGCGAACCTTTGACGCGGGGGAGCAGAGCGCACAGCCGCTGGGCGTCCTCCGGCTGACGGAAGCGGTCGGGCTGCTCGCGGAGGAGTTGCCGCAATGACGTCGGGTGGATGCGCGCGGTGCTTGCCTCCATCTCCTCGAGACTCAAGCGCGGTGGCGCTTTTTGGCTACTCCTCTCCCTATCCACGGCGTCCCCTGATGAAGAAGCCCAACCCCGTCAACCGGCGTGGTGTGCAGTGCGCGGGGGCGTGACACAACGATGGCGCGTAGGGCGTACAGATGCTTCTGCGGTTGCTGGTTTGTGCAGTGGCAAATCGTCGCGCGTGCAGATGGCTCACCAAGCTCGCTGTCGATGGTCGGCGCAGGGTGGACTGCAGCACGAGGCCAGCCATTTGGCTGACCCGACACTGCCCATCTTGTCCAATGATGAGAAAATCGCCCAAAAAGAAAATGAAATGCAGAGATGTCATACCAACAAACTTCGCAGCAGATGCAGGCCGTCGCGTGAGCAAGGGTCGCATCATAGTGTTGGCCCTATTACCTCTGTACATCATCGACGTTAGTGACCTAATTTTTCAAAAGATTTAAAAAGAATAATTTGTTTTTTTTCATCTTTCTTTGTGATTTTCCAGAGTCAATTATTACTCCGTTTTTGGGCCACTCCGCAGGCGACCTCGGTCCTGGTCGCTTTTCGCTTTTCTCCCCGGTCGCGAGCGTTGGTTTGCGGGGAGCGAACACAGACCCAACGGGGAACGGGGTATTGATTAGCAGGAAAGAAAAACTAAAAAAGCCCAGCCGCACGAGGATGAAGAAGAATGCGAGGCCCCACACCGACAGCGGGGGTTCGACCAGCGCGCCGAGGAGCCTCGGCTCGAGTTCGTCGCGGTCGCCATCGACCTCGGGCAGCACGACGGCGGGAACGGGAGGTACGGCGGGCTCGGTCGGGGCGGTTCGGATCGGAGGCGTGGGCGCCCTCAAAGAACTCGAAGAGACGGCCAAGCTGGGCGATGAGGCCGCCTGGCGCAGCCTGCTTGATCGCCTGCCCAACGCCAACGCAATCTTTCATCTCAACGTACCCCCACCCTCCGTTCTTTCTCGTTTTCGATCTTCCGGGCCCCCCCTCCTTAAATCCCCCTTCTCTTTTCGTTCTTTTCCCCCCACAACAACTTGAGCTTCTTCACGCCGAGATTCGTCGTTCGTTCACACACACACACGAGCTCCCTTATTTTATTTAGTATTGATATTTCTTATTTGTATTTTTGCATTATTCGTGCACATAATTGCTTGAGAGAATTTGACGTGCGACTGACCACGACCACGACCTGTTGTCTGTTGCCCACCGACAGACGGAGGTACGACCGTCCGAGCCTCCCATCGGTGGTGTTGTGTGCAGGTGGCTGACACGTCGCGTGCGACGTTCTGAACTTTTGTGCGGGGTTGCTCGGGCCGTTACACACCTGCCAGGAGGTAAACAAACACTGCCTGTTGTCCTGTTTGCGCTTGGTTGCTTGGTTGAGGTTTGGTGACTGACCTTTCTGCCGCACAACGTTGTGCGTTCGCTGTGCCTGGTCTAGTGGGTACGCGCTGCTGCATCGCTGTTCTTCCCCGCAATGTGGAGCGGAAATGAGCACCACTGTTGGGTTCACACGCCTTTTTTATAAACACGCCACAGAGGACACCTCTGTATGTGGCGGCCGAGGAGGGACGGACCAGCTTTGTCATCGAATTGCTACGACGAGGCGCCGAAGTCAACGCTCCTTCTGTACCTCTCCCCAACACCGCACACGCACCACCGCACACAATCACGCGTCGCGATTGCACCGCTAATTCGTCTTCGCGCAGAGGGTACGATATGGACTGTCAACTCAAAATCCGCTCTTTTATTTCTAACCTGATGACGTCGTGATCTTCGTGTGCGCTATAAACCCAAAACCATCCACCGAGCAGAGGGTACTCCCCGCTCTCCTATGCGGCCCAACTTTATTATTATTATTTTGAGCGTAACTCACCATACGACACTGTGGTGCATCTCCCAGGTGGTACGCGTTCTTCTTGTGGCTTTGTGCGTTGCTTTGGTGCAGCCTGGGCGAAGCTGGCACACATCTGACTTGCGTTTGAATCAAACATTGCTTCTCCTTCTCCTCGTGCTGCTGCCGCTCCGTTTGCCCTCGGCTCGCCCATCCCGTGCAGAAACGAGTACGCAAGCCCTCTCTCTTTCACTTATCCATGTAACAAGTCTAATTTTCCTTCGCTCTTTCCCTCGTCTCTTTCGCTCTTGGGCCATGTCTGCGATTACAGCTGGTACGGCTTTGAGTGTTGCTTCTCCACCACCGACAACGCTCGCGCAAGCTAACCAATTCGTTTGTTCTCTATCCTATCCAGGACGTACGTTGCCACACACAGACACACACACTCACCATGTGAGGTTTCCTGTCTGACGCCCCCGGGTCCTTGTTTGGGGTTGGTGTGGTCCCCATATCTCTGTGGCTGATTTTCCACCAATCAGAACGTGCGTTACATTCCGCCTCTCCTCTGATTGGTCGCAGCGAGCAATCTTTTTCCCTTGTTCATTTTACCGTGACTGACCTGACCGCCAACACAGACGGTACGCACTGCTACGGCCTCCTCCCTTACGGCCCGCACTGAACTGACCCACCTGCCCGTTGATCCTCCCCCTTTTTAAATGTCCGGTCACTCAGTTGGTACGCGAACACTCTTCCCACTCTGTCGCCACCGCCACTTCTAATCGATCAGTCATGGACGCGCAGGGGGTACGTTTGAGTGAGGCGTGAGTGCGTTGTGTTGTGCAGGTCCCTTTGGCCCTGGTTGCTTGCACACCGTGTGTTGACGACTTCCTCCCTTGGGCTTGTGGCTGCCTTTTCTTCTCATGTAGGCTGTACGTGCTCTATCTCCCCCCCACACAACAAGTTTATCTTTTCGTCTGTGTGCTCATCCACTCTCAATTGTCCGTCTTGTCGTTGCGTTGTGCAGATCGTACGTTACTGAGCTCGCGTTTCATTGTGAGCTGTGGTCGCCAACGCTAACACATAATCAAATGCCTGCATCAATCACCTTTCTTCTTTCTTCGGCCGTCACCATCAACCACAACCCGCCAGCTGGTGCGCTCCGCCCTCTCCACTCTTCTTGTAGTGTGAGCCCCAATCTTGATCGCGCCCATCCTCATCCGTTTCGTGTCAAATGTCCAGGGAGAAGCAGAGCCGATACAGCCAACGCTGAAGGAGGCCAAAGTGCGTATTTCCTCTTTCCTTCACGTTGCGCTGGTCACCTTTCGACCTGACTTCGGCACCACCCCACACGCACACCACACATGAACGCTTCCGCGCTGCGTAGTATGTACGTACCCACCCGCTGGTCCCCACAAGGTGGTGTTCAGGTGCTTTTGAACAAAAACGCAGAGTTTGACTCACCACTCGCATCTTCCCGTCCACCAGGAGGTACGCACGAGACACGCCGAGGCCCTACGCCAAGGCCTGCCATTTCGGGCCCAAGGCTCTAACCTGCTCTCTTTTCGCGGGCCGC